TTTGTCCAAATGTCATTCTGAGCTGCTCTGTATCCCTTGAAGAGAGGGTGTGAGACCTTTGGGGCCCCTCTGGGACCTAGGCTCTGGGCCTGCCTTCGGCACCTGTTCACTGGAAGCAGGAATAAGGCAGGCCTCGATGACCCCAAGGGCCCCTGGAAAGCACCCTGAATGAATAAGTGGATTTGTAGGGAAATGAATTTGCATAACCCATCCATCATCTGAGAGCCCTCGGGACTCCCGCTGAAAACGCTGTGATCTTAATTTTCTGAAGCAGTCCTAGAAGAGCCCCATTTCTGTGAATGCAGAAAGCTCAATTGTCTGGGATGTCAGATTGTCTCCTAAGCCAACCAATTAGTTTGTCCATTTTAAGACAGACGGAGATGGTCCAAGAGAAGAGGCACAATGTAATTGAACTACATCTGTGCAAACTGACCCTGAGGCCCAGCTTCGAGCTTCTCACCAAATTCAGTTCCTTGGCCTGAGGCCCAGCTCACCCTATCACTTAATGTTCTGCTCTGGACCTCTAGGGTCCAGCTTTATCTAGAACTGACCATTCCCACTGCTGGTCCTTGAAAGAACTTTTCCCATGCTCTGCATTCAGCCCAGTGACCTAGTAACACACGGCCCATTTTCACCCTAATTTCTCCGGTGAGAATCCCAACTCGTCCCAGGCACTGCCCACTCCCAGTGCCTTGCAGGCCTCCTTGACTTTCCTTCTCCCCTTCCTTTCACATCTCACTCTCCACCCTCCCTCCCCAAGGCCAAGACAGTGTAAATCAATATAGTGCAACAATTTTGAAAGCTTTATTCCATCTTTTGTGCCAGAACAAGTTTTCACAGACTCTTCTCCCTGGGAGAGTAAAAGGGTATATGCCGTGCCAGTCAGTGTTGCCACCCTTGGAATGGAACTTGACTCCATCTGTCTCCTAGAATCAGAACTTTGATACGGCTGCTATTATTATGAAAGGGAGTGGGTTAAATATTAAAGAAATAGTGTTTACTGTATTATTGGAAGAAATGGGCTTCATTTCAAACCAGATGTCCTCTATTCCATAACCCTAATATTATATACAAGCTTTCACTTTAAGCAGAGAACTGCATTTAAGGTTATCTCGTTGAGAATCATCACTTGACCCAATGTTGTCTGTACCCTGCAGGGAACATTACATAGTGCTAGGGAGGACCAAGAACTCCATTACGTTAGGCTATTGTTTCACGTGCTTATATTCCCAGGGACAAGACTTGAACCACAGCATAACCATATCTATGTAGCCTAAATAACAGCTATCTTGTTATCCCCTCTTCTGCCTGCTTTTTTTTTCTTTTTTTTTTTTTCTTTTTGGCTGTGTTGGGTCTTCATTGCTGCGTGCAGGCTTCCTCTAGTTGGGGTGAGCGGGGGCTACTCTTCCTTACGGTGTGCAGGCTTCTCATTGTGGTGGCTTCTCTTTGTTGCGGAACACGGGCTCTAGGCATGCGGGCTTCAGTAGTTGTGGCACATGGGCTCAGTAGTTGTGGCTTGCGGGCTCTAGAGCGCAGGCTCAGAAGTTCTGGCACACGGGCTTAGTTGCTCTGCAGCATGTGGGATCTTCTCGGACCAGGGCTCAAACCCGTGACCCCTGCACTGGCAGGCGGATTCTTAACCACTGCGCCACCAGGGTAGTCCCTTCTGCCTGCTCTTGTTTTCTTTAAAAATGGATTTCTGATTTGACACAGTATGAGAGGCTTTGCCGGGGGTAGTTACCCTTTTGAAAACACTGACCTTCTGGCTGCTCTTGGTTCCCCTTGGCCTGAATACAGAGAGACATTGGTCACATGAGTCCTTTTGATATTAGCAACTCTGAACTTGCCTGTTACTTCATCTTGTTAACATAGAAAGCTAAGAAGACATAGTGCTGTAGCTGTGGAATCGTTTCAGTTCATCCATTAATTCTGATACTCAGTGATAGAATCCACATAAATTTCTCATTTTAAAAACATATACTCTGACCCGGGTACTTCTTTAGGGACTGTGTATAATCTAATATTTTAGGGTAACTTGGTATATTGGGAAGAGAATTGGGTAAAGAGTCAGAAAGCATGGATTCCCTCTTTCCCTGGACCTGCTACCAAACTTCACTTTGCTACCTTAGGGAAACTTCAGGGATTTGGACTAAATGACTGCGGCCTTTTTCATTAAGCAGTTTCGAGTCCTCTATTTGCTTAGTTTTGACACTGCCTTCAAATCTAAGAGCCTCAAAGAACTGACAGGGTCTGGCAGAACATCATATTAGCAGACAGAGCCTGATCGGGCCCCACAAATAGGGTATTGAGAAAGTGACTGGAGGCCCAGAAGGCCTGCTGAGCACGGCAGGCCACGGAGCCTCAGCACAGCACCCATCTGCCTCTGCAGGGCTTCATGACTCAGAATACGGCGAAGCAGAATGAGCACTGTCTTAAGAATTTTGACCTCACTGAATACCGCCAGGTGCTGAGCGACCTTTCCATTCAGATCTACCAGCAGCTCATTAAAATCTCCGAGGGCCTGTTGCAGCCGATGATAGGTAAGCTGGCACGGAAGATCTCCTGCGCTCATCACGGGATCCGAAGTGAGGGTAAGCACTCCCTACGTTTAGGGAACCAGGTATCTTAGGTGCGGCCTCCAGAAAGCCAGGACCTCCCAGTGAAGGAAGCTGAGGAGGTGTGTGCCACCTGCTCAAAAGCAGTTATGAACTTTTCAACGCCAGCTCGTCAAAGCACGTGGTGCTTGGGTAGTGAGAGTATAGATCACTTTTCCTTTATCTCTTTTTCTGTAATATACTGTATTTTTTTTCCCAAAAGAAACTAATTTCCATAAGTAATAAATATAAATTCAGAAAGTGTAAATGCATGTACAGTGAAAAGATATAATCTGCTTGCCCATATATATACTTTATTCATGGAAAAAGGAACGCCTTAAGTATGTTCATATAAATGATCACAGTAGTAAACGCTCGTGCAATAAATATTTATTAAACATTCTGTCCAAAGCAGTACACTTGGGCACTTAACATGAAATCAGATTTGAAAATCAGAGCAGTTATTTTTTAAGTCACGAGAAAAGTGACACGTATATGCATCGCTCAGGGTGCTCCTTACAGGCTGTCGAGGAAATAGTCTCCTGGACCATGTAAGTAATTCTTTCCCCAGGTTCTTAAAACACAAGTAGGTTACAAGTGAATTCCAAGTAGGACAGAGTCCTACGTGCCATCCAGAAATATACCCCTTGGGATAAGATGCATTCCAAATCCTTCTTCCTGTCTGAGACTCTTATGAGGCGCCAGTTTATTCTCACCAGACAGGGAGAACTGGGGATGTTTCATGACTCAGGTAAGATGATGGTTAACAGCATCAGTTCTGGAATCAGACATACCTGGGTTCAAATCCTGGCCCTGCCACTTCCTAGCAGGGTGACCTTGGGCAAGTTATTTAACCTCTTTATGCCTCCGTTTCCTCATTAGGAAATGGGTTGTTGGAAGATTAAAAGGAATTACTGAATATAAAGTGCCTGACCTGTAGTTAAGTGCTGGGCAGTAAGTATGACAGACCAGCTCACCTAGGATTTACATGGTCGGTGGCTGATGGAGAAAAGCTATTTGAACACCTATAGGCTGATCTCAGGGTCCAGGCCCAGGGCAGTGGCTGGGCCATGACTACACCCAAGTTGCTCCATTTTGGTCCCTCAGCACAGAAGCCAGAACAGAATTAAGTCGGTACGTGCCTTTTACCTCTGTCCCATCACCAATAAATTTACGCAAAAATGTGGTCCACAGGTTTAGTCCAAGATTTCTATGTGGAAGTCCTAGTCTGTGTAGAAATCAACAGGTTAGAAATTCCATGCCAAATGCTGTAAGTTCCTGAGCACGTCGACCTTGTTCACCTCTGGGTGGGATCACTGCCAAAGCCCTGAGTACTGTGTGATCTCAGTGACCCGAAAACAGATCTTCTTTGGGAACATGCAGCTTCTCTAATCATGCTTTTCTTTCAGTGTCTGCCATGTTGGAGAACGAGAGCATTCAGGGTCTGTCTGGGGTGAAGCCCACGGGCTACCGGAAGCGCACCTCCAGCCTGGCGGATGGAGATAACTCCTACTGCCTGGAAGCCGTCATCCGCCAGATGAACTCCTTCCACACAGTCATGTGCGACCAGGGCCTGGACCCCGAGATCATCCTGCAGGTGTTCAAACAGCTCTTCTACATGATCAACGCGGTGACGCTCAACAACCTGCTTCTGAGGAAGGACGTCTGCTCCTGGAGCACAGGCATGCAGCTCAGGTACGAGAGGCGCCTTGGCCTGGCACACACCAGCCCCAGTCGGGCACGCTTGTCTCTGAAACTGAAATCCAAATGCAACTGATCGTCCTTGTCACAGTCAGTATGTGACTCAGATCCATCACCTTTTTATTGGTTGGAGAAATTCATCACACACTGAGATGGTGACCCGGTAAACAAATTAGTTCAGAGCTTAAACACATTTACATACTTTAATATGACGATTGTAAATATGAGGTGGATAGGTCAGAGAGAAAAATTAATGACTTAAGAGGCATGAAGGCTCACAGAGAAGTACAAACATGTTTGCGAATGTTAAATGTTAAGTTGTTTTAATTCAATATAGTTAATGCCTTTTTTTCTCATTAGCTTAGTACAGACACTTTAGGTACTTCATCTTGGCTTGATTTTAAGCACCCACTCATTTCACAAAAAGTTATTGAGTGCCAGGTACTTTTCACGCTTTTGCCTGTGTGGGACAATTAAGATGAGGAGAATGATAACACTAATGGCAGCTGGCCTGCAAAATAAACACAAGAGGTGAGCTCTTTCCAGTGAAGTAGGAGGCCAGGTTTAACAGAGCTCACTTTTCCTGTGTCTAAGGTACAATATAAGTCAGCTGGAGGAGTGGCTTCGGGGAAGAAACCTGCACCAGAGGGAAGTTGCTGAGACCATGGAACCTCTGATCCAAGCAGCCCAGCTCCTGCAGTTAAAGAAGAAAAGCCCCGAAGATGCAGAGGCCATCTGTTCCCTGTGCACCGCCCTCAGCACCCAGCAGGTGTGGTCACTGTCAGCCGAGGGCCTCAGAGCAAGCCCAGCTCCCATTTCAAGTCTGTTCCTGCCGGTGGTTGTTTCTTAGTGTGGCACTCCTGGCCCTTTCTGCTCCCAATGATACAGTCCTGAAGGTCCAGAGGATGGGATGTTCCTGGATGAACCAAAGGCTACTTCGGTCTGTGAAACAAGATGACACGGTTTTCCAGTAACTCTCTGGTGTCTCTTGCTTACGTAGAAAGATAAGGTAGTCAACCCACAAAACGTCAAGCTTAGGCACACACTTTTTTAAACGCTTACAGTGAATTCTGGAATGTCTCTCACCTAGAAACTTAAGCATCCGGCATTTGGCATTAAATTGTTTTCTTTACAGCTATGATTCCATTGTGGTCCTGTTTTCACTTAGCATCCATTTACATTATTTTAAATAAAGTCAGTGAGAATCTAGCTAGAGGCATTTAAATGTTCCTTTCCTTTTCCCCTCAAAATTGTATTTGTACTAGGACTCGGTTGCAGAGGTATTACCAGTCTGTAAAAAGACAGATCTTGTCCACACACAGGTGACCTTGCCCTCCGTCATGAATGTGCCTGTTTAGAAATGGGACCTCCACAAGGTGGTAGTGCAGAATGAGACCAGCATGAGGAAATCAGATTTTCCAAATTAAATCATGCACCTTCTCCCTGCCCAGCACCTAAAGAACAGCAAAATCCAAACTCAGCATTGCAAAGTAAACATACATTTCCTTACCTCCTCCACTAACTACTAAGAGATGAGATCCCAAACTCTGAGGAAAACTGCTTCCTTCTACAACTGTACTGAAAGTTTTGAAACTTTTTAAAATGGTGCTTTCACAAGTTTACTCCTAGACTGCAACTGGCATCGCTCTGCCCCTGGGCTGGCTACTTCCCCCAGACAGTTGGTAGCAGACAGAGGATTAGCTTCCACTTAGACAGGAGTAAAATCTGTTCCTTCGTAAGTGATTTTGGGGGTGGGGGGAGGTAGGAAGGCTTTGTTAAGACCTTTGTTATATAAGGTAAGATACCCAGGACTCTTTTAATGAAACCTTTAAATTACTCGTGGATAAGAGGCTGAGTGCTTCAGGCAGCAGTTCCCTAAAATCCTCATTACTTTATAAGCCATGGAGCGTAGAGGGCGGGGTGGGCAGGTATACGGGAGAGAGGAATGGGGTAAGAGAGCTCAGATCTGCCAGGCAGAGCTTCCGGACTCTAGTTTACGAAGTGTAGACCCCTAAACATCAGGCCAGCTGTATCTAAACTGTGGACCTTGCCTAAAGAGAAGTGTCCTCCTGTGCCAATGTCATATGTTCTTTAAAATTCAAAAGTTGTCTTATGTTCACTTAGCTCTGTGCTAAACTTCTGTTTTTATTCCAACAGATTGTCAAAATTTTGAACCTTTATACTCCCCTGAATGAATTTGAAGAACGGGTAACAGTGGCCTTTATACGAACAATCCAGGTGAGTTTTAAAATATTAATCAATTTTATAAAGTCCTAGTGAACAACAAATAAAAGAATTGGTAGTTTAGATTTTAACCTTGCTTCTCTTTATTAATGAAATAACGTTACATTCTAGAAGACCTTACAGTTTTAGGTGTTCTCTTTAGGTAAATATGAGCCACACCACCCATGAATAACTTATCATATACGCACAGAAGACTGAACGTCAATCATCTCTGCCTCTCAGATCTTAGACATTGTCTAAGTAGTTCATTTGCCACTAGCATGTTACTAAACTATAGCACAAAATGAAATTAACAAAGTAAGCGGAATATCAACCCTACCCACAAATGGAACTAAGAAATACTCTTTTCAGAAAACAACTTGAGCTCTTAAATCTTGACTCTTAAGGCTTACAATATTTACCCTTAGGAATATGCTTGAAAGAAAACATTTCAGGGAAATGATTATTTATTTAAATCTGTCTTAAGAGTATGGGAATTTTTACATAAAGATGAGCTGCCTGGGCCTTCCCTGGTGGCACAGTGGTTGAGAATCTGCCTGCCAATGCAGGGGACACGGGTTCGAGCCCTGGTCTGGGAAGATCCCACGTGCCGTGGAGCAACTAGGTCCGTGAGCCACAACTACTGAGCCTACGCGTCTGGAGCCTGTGCTCCACAACAAGAGAGGCCGCGATAGTGAGAGGCCCACACGCTGCGATGAAGAGTGGCCCCACTCGCCACAATTAGAGAAAGCCCTCGCACAGAAACGAAGACCCAGCAGAGCCAAAAATAAATAAATAAATAAATAAATAAGAAGACCCCAAGATCACTGTTTCAAAAAGAAAAAAAGATGAGCTGCCTAAGCTGAGCCCTAGGTGATCTGGGCTGAGTGCCTAACCTTTGTGGGCGCTGTAGCGGACAGCATGTAAATGATGAGTCACATCAAGATTACTCAAAACACGAGGAGCATTTCTCCCATTAGTATATGTGGGTAACATTTTGAGGAGACCTAATACTTTCTCAAACTTTTAAACAACCTCTTTAGCCTGTGAAGTAATTGTCAATATGAAACAAGGATAAAATGAAATGGGGAAAAGTAATCAGAGGAAGAGGCAGGAAAAGAATAAATTAACTTGAGCGTCATGTATAAGTAGAGAATAGAGGCTGAAGATCAAGGGAGGGTGTTCTCTTAAAGGCAGTGGGGGAAATGCAGTGGTTTATTAAAGACTGGGATCACAGAGAAGCAGGCGGAGAGTCACCAACACGGATATTGTATAGTCAGCTGCTGAAAAGACTGATGACAGAAGCCATTGAGTTCTCTGACCCGCTACTGTTTTTATGGAGAGTTGAGAATTTACACAAAGCAAAGTGCAGATTTAGAAAGTCTTTTCTGTCTTTAAATACCTGAAACATACATTAGAGGGAGAGCTGTAACTGCTTATAAATTGGCACTGTTTACAAGAAGAGTTCAGGCCAAAGGTCAAAGAATATGAGCCAAGTCAGACTTGGGTTTGAATTAAGGAAGTAGGAAAAAGACAATGGAAGTTGGTCAGATATTCTCTGGAGACATGTACAGTCAGATTCTGAGTCTTCCTTAGCAGTCAATTCCCATGTCCAGCAATTCTTTCAAAAAACGGTTTTTTGGTTTTGTTTTGTTTTTCTTGCTAGAGTTTTACGTTCTGTTTCTCCCTAGACAGCGCCCAGAGGAAAGGCTCGGACAATCCATGCCATCCTCCTGTACTTGAACCTTATGTAGGATAAATACAAGTTGCTTATTAAAGCAAACCATTTACTTGGGTGGTGAGGACAGAATATGCTGACCTATAAGAATGTAAATTTAAGGGGATTGTTAAACACACCAAAGGATTCCCACCAGCAATGCAGGAGGTGTACAGATACACAGGAATATCAGTCTTGTATTTTTGTATGTTGAACCACCCTTGCATTCTGGGGATAACTCCAAATTGGTCATGTATATGTTTGTTAAGTCTAACTGGTTTATAGTGGTGTTCTTTGGCCTCTGTTTGCTGTTGATCTTCCATATGGTTGTTCTATCCATTATTGAAAATGGGGTATTGAAGTGTCCAACTATTATTATAGAACTGTTTCTCCCTTTAATTCTGTCCATTCTTGTTTCATGTATTTTGAGCTCTGTTGCTAGGTGCATGTATATTTGTAACTCTTATATATTCTGGATAGATTGAGCCTTTTACAGATATATAATGTCCTCCTTTGTCTTTTGTAAACTTTTTTTATTTAAAGTATATTTTGTATGACAATAATATAGCCATTTCAGCTCTTTTCTGATTATTTGGAATGTCTTTTATCAAACTTTTACTTTCAAACTTTTTGTGTGTCTAAACTGTCTCTTGTAGATAGCATGTAGATGGATCATGTTTTTTCAATCCATTCTGCCAATCTCTGCCTTTTAATTGCCTTTAAATTTGCATTTAAAGTATTACTGATAAAGGATTTACTTCTGCCATTTAGCTACTTGTTTCCTGGATGTCTTAATATGTTTTGTGTTTTTCAATTCTTCCATCACTGCCTTTTTGTGTGTTTATTTCTTGTAGCGAGTGTATCATTTTGATTCCCTACTTTCCTTTTCTGTATATTTTTTAGTTATTTTCTTAGTGGTTACTGTGGTGATCACTATTCACATCTTCAACTTATAACGACCTAGTTTAAATAATACCAACTTAGTTTCAATAGTACACAAATACTCTGCTGCTATAGATCTCCATCCCTCTGCCTTTATATTGTTATTGTCACAGATCACATCTGTTATACATGTGTACCCATTAACAGAGATTTATAATTATTTTCTGCATTTGTATAAATCATACAAGAAAAGGTGCTACAAACCAAAAGTATAATGCTGGCTTTTACATTTACCTATGTTGTTAGCTCTACCAGTGTTCTTTATTTCTTCTTATGGCTTGATTTCTTATGGCTTTGAGCTACAGTCTAATGTCCTTTCATTTCAGCCTAAGGACTTTCTTTAGTTACTGGTAACCAGATCCTTCTGCTTTTGTTTATCTGGAAATGACTTAGTTGTCCCTCAGTACCTGTGGGGGATTGGTTCTAGAACCTCCATGGGTACCAAAACCTGTGGATGCTCAAGTCATTTATATAAAATGACATAGTATTTGCATGTAAGCTATGCACATCCTCTGTACACTTTAAATCATCTCTAGCTTCCTTATAGTACCGAATACAATGTAAATGCTATGTAAATAGTTGCCAGCATGTATCAAATCCAAGTTTTACTTTTGGGAACTTTCTGCAATTTTTAAAAAATTAATTAATTTATTTATTTATTATTTTTGCTGTGTTGGGTCTTCGTTTTTCTGTGCGAGGGCTTTCTCTAGTTGTGGTGAGCAGAGGCCACTCTTCATCGCGGTGTACGGGCCTCTCACTATCGCGGCCTCTCGTTGCGGAGCACAAGCTCCAGACGCACAGGCTCAGTAGTTGTGGCTCACGGGCCTAGTTGCTCCGCGGCATGTGGGATCTTCCCAGACCAGGGCTTGAACCCGTGTACCCTGCATTGGCAGGCAGATTCTCAACCACTGTGCCACCAGGGAAGCCCTGCAATTTTTAAAAATATTTTTGATCCATGGTTGGTTGAATCTACAAATGCAGAACCCATGGATACAGAGGGCTGACTGTAATTCTTCAATCTTGAAAGATAGTTTTGCCAGATATAGAATTCTTGGTTGACAGAAAGAAGAAATTTCAGGACTTCAAATATATCACTCCTGCCTTCTGGCTTCCATGGTTTCTGATAAGAAACCCACTTTTACTCTTATTGAGGATACCTTGTTATGTGATAAGTCACTTCTCTCTTGCTGCTCTCAGGATTCTTTCTTTGTCATTGGGGTTTGAAATTTTGACTATAATGTGTCTCAGTGTGAATCTCTTTGAGCTTTTTCTGCTTGGAGTTTGTTAAGCTTCTTGGAGATATATAGAGAGAGAAATATATCTTTCATCAGATTTGGGAATCCAGCCACTATTTCTTCCAGTAGTTTGCTGTCCCTTTCTTTCTGGGACTCTTATGATGCATATGTTGGTACACTTTATGGTGTCCCACAGGTCCCTCAGGCTCTGTTTACTTTTATTCACCCCTTTTTCTGTCCACTCCTCAAACTGAAGAATTTCAATTGCTTTATCTTCAGTTTCACTGGTCATTTCTTCTGCCTGCTCAAGTCTGCTGTTAGACCCCTTTAGTGAACT